CGCCTTATTCACTTAAGTCAAATGGAGTAGCTGAAAGGAAAAATAGAACATTGAAAGAGATGATGAACTCTATTTTAGTTAGTTCTAATGCTCTTGATAATTTGTGGGGTGAAGTTATTTTATCTGCATGTCACTTACAAAATAAAATACCACATAGAAGAACTAGCAAAACTCCGTATGAATTGTGGAAGCGTTATAGACCTAACTTGAAATATTTAAAAGTGTGAGGGTGCCTTGCTAAAGTTCTTTTGCATGAACCTAAAAAGAGAAAAATAGGTTCTTAAACTGATGCTTGCATGCTTATTGGATATACTGAACATAGTGCTGCATATAGATTCCTTATTTTAAAAAGTGATGTGCTTGATTGCAATACTATAATTGAGACAAAGAATGCTGAGGTCTTTGAATATATTTATCCATTGTCTGGTAAAATTTCTCATACACCTGTTGAAACAAATAGTGAAATTACCTCTAATGAGGAACTGAGAAGGAGCAAAAGGAATAGGAAATAATATTTTTCTTATGGAAATGATTTTCAAACTTTTCTTGTCAATAATGAACCATCAAATTTTTTTGAAGCTATATCTTCTTCAGATGCTAAATATTGGAAAGAGGCAATGAAAGTTGAAATCGATTCTATTTTAAAAAATAATACATGGATTTTAACCGATTTACCTCCTGGTGCGAAGCCTATTGGTTGTAAATGGATTTTCAAAAAGAAATTTAATCCTGATGGATCTTTAGATAAATATAAAGCTCGGTTCGTAGCAAAAAGATTTTCTCAAAAATAAAATATAGATTATTTTGATACTGCACCAGTGACGAGAATTTCTTCTATTCGAGTTTTAATTGCCTTAGCTTCAACCCGTAAGGTTTTTATCCACCAAATAGATGTCAAAACTGCTTTTCTAAATGGTGATTTAGAAGAATAAATTTATATGGTTCAACCTGAAGGCTGTGTCATTCCTGGACAAGAAAATAAAGTTTGTAAATTAATTAAATTTCTTTATGGCCTTAAACAAGCTCCTAAGCAGTGGTATGAGAAATTTGAACAAGTCTTACTGAGAGACAGTTTTTCTTCAGTGGAAGTGGATAAATGTGTTTATACTAAAGTGGTAGACAATGATTATGTGATAATATGTCTATATGTTGATGACATGCTTATATTTGGTACAAGTTTAAATATTGTGCAAAGTACTAAATTATTTTTGTCTTCTAATTTTGATATGAAAGATATGGGTAAAGTAAATATGATATTGAGAGTTAAAGTTATAAGGACTGAAGATGGAATAATGTCGTCACAAGAACTTTATGTTGAGAGACTTCTTAAGAAGTTTGAATATTTTAATGTCACATCTGTGAGCATTCCTTTTGATGCTAACTCTCAGTTGAAAACGAATAATGGTGATCCAGTTGCTCAGTCTAAATACGCTCAGATTATTGGGAGTCTGATGCATTTAATGAATTTTACAAGGCCTGATATAGCCTATGTTGTGTGTAGACTGAGTAGATATACACATAATCCCAACAACGAGCATTGGTCTGCATTAGCTAGACTAATGAAATATTTGAGAGGAACCATGAATTATGCTATCCTATATAGTGGATTTTCCTATATTTTAGAAGGGTACAGTGATGCAAACTGGATCTCTGATTCAGATAAGATAAAATCCACTAGTGGTTATGTATTCACCTTTGGTGGTGGTGCAATATCGTGGAAATCAGCTAAACAGACGATCATTGCTAGATCGACTATGGAATCAGAGTTAGTAGCTCTGGAGTTAGCTGGTTCTGAGGCTGAGTGGCTAAGAAACTTCTTAGCTAACCCTTTAATAAAGGACGTATTGCCTCATGTGTCTATACATTGTGATTGCCAAGCGGCAATAGCTATAGCAAAGAATAAATATTATAATTGTAAAAGTAGACACATGAAATTGAGACATGATGTCATAAAGCAGCTGCTAAGAGATGTAATAATTTCCATTGATTATGTGAAGTTAGAAGATAATTTGGCTGATCCTCTGATTAAACCTGTGGGAAGAAAATTTATTCTTCAAACCTCAAAAGAGATGGGGTTAAGGCCGACATGTTGTCAATAGAGATGGTAACCCATCCCAACCTATGTGATTGGAGATCCCATGAAGTAGGTTCATATGGGTAATAACAAGTCGATATTGGCATTGATGCACTAAAAGAGAGTGCTTGACTGCTACTAATTGAGAGGCTGAGTTATAACTCTTAATGAAATTCATAGTCCTTATGGATGGTGTATTTAAAAGCAGTATACACTCGATGAATTCACCTATATGAGAGTGGAGTGGGCCGCTCCTATGAGATTTTGGCCTAGTCTCTAGAGCTCTCATGAATACCAGGCACGCGCATGGCCGATTCGGCGCAAAATCGCGTCGAACAGCAAAATTACCGGGGGTCGAAATGTGATTGATAAAATCTCTGACTTACAATAAGAATTATTGGTTCATAGAAATATTATATTTCACCAGTAATTCTGTGAGTTAAATTTTATTGATCTAAGTTTGGTTCATAGTCCAAAAGACACGAAACCTATTGCATTTGGATCATACAAATCCAGCAAATCTTACTCCTCTTTGTATGAATTTTTTGAAAATTCGTGGGGGAACTATTGTGATATATCCAAAAATTGGACAAATGTCCTTCTATGTGGCACTCTTTGGACAAATGTCCTTCCATATGGCATTCTTGCATGAGAAATTGAAGACAAGTGTTGTACACTTGTCATGCTCTAAGCTTCACTTAAAGGCTATAAATAGGGCTTCAAAATAGCCATCAATCATCAGCATTTTCTTTTGCCTTTTTCGTTCCTCTTCAGCTTCTTTTCTTTTCCTCCTTAAACTTTTGTAGTCTACTTTCTTTGTTCTCTTTTAAATAGTTGGGTTTATAATTTAATATTTTTGCTGATTCCTGTATCCTCTAAATAAATAGAGTGAGCTTGTTTAATCCTGGTGAAACATTTCACATTGCTGAAATAGTTTCTTAGGACAATGCGCAGCACGACTCAAGCCAATTCGTGTATCCACTTACAAATAATATTATTGCAGTATTATTATCGTTATTTCCGATGTCATTTCCAACATAATTTACGCACGAAAAAGGAAAAAACGTTTGCTTTATTTTTGATGTATCATTAGCATTTTTTTGGGAATATCAATAGTCATTTTGGTAAAGATAAAAATCTTTTTGGGATAGATTTCTTTTTTCATATTTTAGCTCTAACAAGAACTAGTACACCCACATTATTTTACTTTTTTACCTTCCTTATCAAGTTCCGAAAGTGGTCATGACAAAAGTACGCAGAATACTCTTTTCATTCTTCTTTGTGGAATAAAATTCAAAGTTTGTAATGACAGAGATTTTTCAAATGAAAAATATTTCCCTTTTTTCATATTTTATTGTAGTATATATATATATACACGAAATATATCGAGACTGATGCTTTTTCAAGAAACTAAAATATTACCTAAATAATCACATTATTACTACAATATGCCGATATCCATAATTCCTAAATTTCTACATAGATATAAAGCTTGAAATCACTCAAAATAATGAAGAAACTCCTGCATGTTAACCGAATAATGGAGATCCCACTCCTAAAAGTATCATAATTTACAAAGTGGAACCTTTAAAACTGTTATTTTCTTTGCCGCTAATTATAAATTCGAGTCAAAATTTTGATTTCGTTTAGCTCCACTTTGATGCAAGAGCCGATTAGTTAAGAAACACGGTCTACTTATTAACTATTGAAATATTTTAAAACTTGCACATGATTAACATCTCATTAACTTCAATTAACCTTTACAAATATAAATAATAATATTACTTTNTATATATATATATATAAATTCTATTACAAAATAGTTTTGACTTCTTATTAAACTTTAGCTTTAGGCAACCAATGATATTAAGCTGCCCATGAATTTTATATGCCAGCTCTCTAAAAGTCAAAGCGAATCGTAACAGAAAGTCGAAAGATAAACATCCAATAATGATTTTCTTCCACTTAACACGAATGATTTTCTTCTTGTTTTGGACTAGTTTTACTCGCTTAAGATTGTTGGAATACAAGAAATTAATAATCGTAGTGAAGTTTGGATATCTAAAACTTATTCCTAACTATGACAAACTTAAATTAGTAACTTTTTTTATATATAAAATATTTTTAATGTTTACATTAAATGGTATCAATTTATTATTGTTACGTGATTTTATTAAGTAAACATATATAGTATTAATTGACTATGATCAAGGGAGATGCGTCTATTTTTTCACAGTAAGATACGTTTATTTACAAACACATATGCACTATTAATTTGGGGTAAACAAATATTACCTTTTTTGTACAGTTGGTGATTCGTTTTAGATCATTATTGTTATGAGTAATTTATATGTGTAGTGAGCACCTGAACTCACACTGACACACAAATCTCTCCAATGTGGATATCGACAAATTCCGAAAAATTTTCAAGACCATTTTTCTCTCTTTTTCTTTTTCAAAATAACCCTCCATATTTCTCTCATAACTGATAAAATGTGTACGTGGATGTGATTCAAATTGTAAAATATGAACTCGTTTATAACTTATAGTTTATAATTTCTCGTGAATGTGGTTCGAATTATAATTTATTGATCACCAAGTATTCATTGAGAGTTAAATGTGTCTGAAATAGTAATGCATTGAATGAAATAACGAATATAAAATGTCAAAGACGAAGGCCACATATGTTATGTTTGTCCAAATTTGACCCTCAGTTTTTGGATGATCAAAAGCAGCAAAAAATTTAATAGCCAAAATGAAAATGGAAGCAACGTAGTAAGCCTATGTATAGCAAATAAGGAAGCAATTACAGTGACACCGATAAGAGGCAAGATGAACTGCACTCTGCACACAAAGGAAAGCAATCCTCCGTAATTAAGAAAGAATAAGCCATCCTCAATAATTAATACTAGTAATTAAGAAAGAATGATTACTTAATGTATCCATCAACGTCTTAATTTGCATTTGCATGTCAACCAAGACTTGAGTAGCGAGTGCAACCAATACTTTGTTTCTTGCTTAATTTTTAGAACACATTCTACCATATTCCAATTTTGTCTTTCTGCATTTGCAACTTTGTATTTCAATTTTGATTGATACTCCTGGTACATGATTGGAGTAACTATGAAAAGATTCAAAAAAACCTCCAATGATCAGCTAGTTTCTTCCGATCGAGAATCCAGTATCGTTCTAAAGATTGCAGAATCGAAATGGGGTCTCAATCCTATGACTCTTATGGCTTTTTTCGTAGTATCTTTGATGGTTCTGACTCTTGTATTCTCAGTTGCCATAGTTTCTGGGAAGTTACCTTCTGATTGCTTGTGGACTTTGGCTGAAGCTAGATTTTTTCATGTTAAACCTTCAAAAGGTATTTCATTTCCTCCTTATTTTCTCATCTTTGCCTTTTGATTCACTTATATTACTACTAGTAAATAAACTTAATCTATTCTTCTTCTTTTTTCGGCCACAGTTTCTGAAGATGATATTCCTCGGCCAGTGATAATGCCAAAAGATAAACTATTAGGTGGCCTTCTTCCTTCTGGATTTGATGAAACATCTTGTTTGAGTAGGTATGAATCACTCTTATATATCAAAGGTCTGCGCCATAAGCCTTCGTCTTATCTTATCTCGAGGTTAAGAAGATACGAAGCTCTACATAAGCAATGTGGACCATATACAGAATTATATAACAGAACTGTCGACCTTATAAAATCTAGTGATCAATACAGTGCTGCTTCTTCAGTTTGTAATTATGTGATTTGGGTATCCTTTAGTGGTTTAGGGAACAGAATACTAACCTTAACTTCTGCTTTTCTTTATGCTCTTCTCACAAATAGAGTCCTTCTTGTTGACCCCCGAGTTAATTTACCTGACTTATTCTGTGAACCTTTTCCTCAAGTTTCTTGGTTGCTTCCCTCAGATTTTCCCATACTTGATCAGTTTAGTACCTTTAATCAGAAATCTCCACTTTCTTATGGTTATATGGTGAGAAACAATAAGTCAAGAATACATCCTTTCATGTACCTTCATTTAAATCATGACTATGATGCTCAAGATAAATTATTTTTCTGTGACACTGACCAAACTTTTCTCAAGAAAATCCCTTGGCTATTTGTGAAGTCAAATAACTATTATGTTCCTGCTCTTTTCTTGATCCCATCTTTTGAGCAAGAGTTAAACAATCTTTTTCCAGAGAAAGGAACTGTCTTCCACTTTTTAGGTAGGTACCTTTTCCATCCCACAAATACTGTATGGGGGCTTATTACTAGGTACTATCAAGCTTATTTGGCCAATGCAGATGAAAAAATAGGGATTCAAATTAGAGTCTTTGATTTAGGTGCAGGTAATTTTAAGTATGTATTGGATCAGATTTTAGCATGTACAACAAAGGAGAATCTACTGCCACAGGTTAACCAGAATGAGCCTATAGTCAATTCATCTGAAAAGCCGAAGACTATAAGTGTATTGATGACATCTCTAAGTCCAAGATATTTCGAGGAGATCAGGAACATGTATTGGGAAAATCCTACTGTAACAGGAGAGATTGTTAGTGTTTACCAGCCAAGTCATGAGGAGCATCAACAAACCGAGAAGCTGATGCATGACAGGAAGGCATGGGCGGAGATGTATTTGCTGAGTTTAACTGACAAATTGGTTACAAGTGCATGGTCCACTTTTGGATATGTAGCTCAGGGTCTTGGAGGTTTGAAGCCCTGGATTTTGTACAAGTTTGAGAATGGGACAGTACATAATCCGCCTTGTTTTCGCGATATGTCTTTGGAGCCATGTTATCATTCCCCTCCGAATTATGACTGCAAAAAGAAAACAGCAGGTTATAACACAGGTAATGGTGTTCCTCATGTGAGACATTGTAAGGATATGACCTGGGGGTTGAAGCTATTTGATCGAAATGGTGAACTGTAACATGTTTAGAATAAGGGAAGAACAATTGTCGCATGATTAAAAATTATAACTTATTACAAGATTCTTTCATTGACACGATTCTTTTGATGATAGGCAATGATGCAACTTAGAGTGAAGAAGAGATAAAATCATATTTTTCAGTGTTTAATGAAAGTTAAACCATAGATTTCTGTTTATGTGTGGATTCTGTTATTTTATTTAATGGTAAGTATTCGTACTTTTTGCTGCATCATTGTATGCTCAGCATTTCTCTGAGCAACTGGCAAAAACATGGATGAGTTCACCTTAGTGGAAAATAAGATTTTTCAACGCACCACAAATATACATGAGCGTGTGTGTGCGCAACATTGAAAATCCATAATTCTATGGTTATAAACAGGATCCTCTCTCTACCGATTTGTCCCCGATGCCCAGCCCCGGCTCATAGAGGGATTAGGCCTGCACGTCTTCCTTTCTTCTTGAATCCGATTGGATGAAAAAAGTGAGGCTCAAGCTCCCGCTATGTGCGGGGTCCGGGAAAGGATCGAAGCACAAAGATCTATTGTAGACAGCCTTACCCTGCATTTCTGCAAGAGGCTGCCTTACCCTGCATTTCTTGCACGGCTCGAACCCGTAACCTCATGATCACATGGCAGCAACTTTACCAATTGCGCCAAGGCTCCCCTTCAAATAAATAATATCACTATTACCTTAAAATCTAAATTAAGCAAATGATATAGGAGGATCATCCATCAATGGATTTTGGATAATAAGGTTATTGCTAGACTCTTCACTGACGACAGACAATGGATTACACTTAATATTATCAGGATTTACGTCATTATAGTTTTGTACACACTTTGATGTATTAATATTGAAACAATTACGTAACAAAACAATTTGTAAGAAAGAAAATCGAACATTCTAAATATTTGATTGAACTTTACTCTATCAGAATCGTGATATATTTTTGCAGTAATGTTTTTCTCAGTCGTGACATATGATCTTGGTCACTATTTTATCAATTCTCCGTTCCTTCATAAATTAAAACTAAACCACTGAAATGTTTACACATCAGGATATTTTATCGAGCTCAATTTACATGGTATCGATGCCTGCAAGGCAACCAGTTATGTAAAGGAGGTTGTTGTTAGTCATCCGCCTGCTCGCAACAAATTTCAGCTTCTACCATGTGCTAAAAAAACAGCCTGCAGTAATTCGAATCCACTAGCCAGTATCAGAATCTGAAAATTCCGCTTGGCAAGCATCTTTTGGTTCCACGTCAGTCATAGAAGGTGGAACAAGATCGTTTCTTGGGCGATTTCTTCGCTTTCGTGTGGTTGCGTCCTGCAAAGAGAGATAACGTGGAAAGGATCGACGTTACGTAATTTCCAAAGAGGTCAAAATGAAGATCGTTTACAGAAGAAACTGAAATAGCCTAGGGCCTAGTGCTTGCATGGGCTAGCCCAAAGCAAGTTTTAGGTACATTGTATCACTACCTTTGCGCTTGGCTGAGTGTGATCGGACTCTCTGGTCTGCTGGCTCAAATGTTCTGGCTCATTGGATCTCTCGCTCGAATGATCTGGTTCGCTTAACTGAGCTACCTGACTTCTCCTCAGCCAAACACTACCAAATGAGATTAATGCTGCCAGGAGCAGAAAGGGTCCAACCCTTGGATCACCACTGTAATCGTGAATTCTATTTAGGAAACTTTTGATCCTATGATTAAATCCTCCACTAGGGCCAACGGTTCCTTGAGACCAAGATGACCAACTGGAATCTGCATCCTCCGGAACCAATTCAGGAGTCCTTGTTTTCTGTGACGAAATGGGAATAAAGATACAGAACTAGAGAAGGAATCTAGAAAAGGGCTAAAGACAGCTTTCTGCAGTTATACATCCATGCAATCAACATATGAATACTTGAATAACATGAGAAACCATTATCTCATAATGATATCGACATCTAATACACATTAAAAGCTACCACTCATCCCTTGTTGATTAAGTACCTTCCAGACTGGTATCCATAATTCCATTCAAGTGAGCGATAGATCAATATTACATAGAGATTAGTTGCAAAAAGTAAAAGAATTTGTGCAAGCACAAGTTCTGGTGTACCATCTTCAACCAACTGGCAACTGCTGTCATGAATAGAGCTTACAATCTTGAAGGAGGGTTCATCATTTATAAGATCCATTTTTAGAACCCCTAAACAACCTTTGAATCAATTAAAGCAAACAAGTTTTAACAGAGAGATTTTTGGAAATTAACTTACAAATGAAGGAAGACTCTTAGAGTCGCCATCTTTGATTATCTCAGAAATCCATTGTACAATCTGTCATTCCAATATACAATACATTAGATATTCAGGTATAATGATCATGAACATTCTCATACAAGTAGCTGGCTCAATACAAGAATGAAAGGTCCAACAAATCTCAGGAGATAGGCTATATTTTCCTATCTAGGTTATTTCCCATGTATGCTGATAATTCAGTCAAATATAGACAGGGCAAATGTTTCGAGAGCCAAGCGTTATTTGCTAATCTAGCATATTACTTGCATGTTCTACAAGGAGGAGGGTTTTGACCATAAATGAGGCAGTCTTAGTAGAAGGAAATGAGTGAATTGTGTTTGCATGTCCTAGTAATAAAGAGTTGACCAAGAACAGAACTTCCACAAAATTAATCCGGCTTCACAACACGTATTTTCCCTGATGAGGGACCTTGCTTAACTATCTAAAAGTGGTATCATGCATCAAACATGTGATCAATATCATCAATGAGGGAAAGGAAACCACCCTTTAGCTCCAACTTCCAAAATTAATTCAGTCTCCTAAACGTGTCTACATAACCATGTACTTTTTGTTCAAAGAAAGAATACCGCTGGGAAAGGGATAGTTTAGGAGGGAAAAAATAGAAAGATAAATGCTCAATTAGAAGCAAATATCAAAGGACTGCCCGTCACAGTGTGGACCGAAGAGAACCATGGAAGGAGATTTCGAAATTGCAACCAGGTGAAAGAAGTGGTTTTGCTTCCATCTCCTATCTCTCTCGTTCTACTTGTGTTTTTGCAATGGATTGAACTGAAATTCTTACAGTTTGGAGGGACGAAACCACCCGCTTGTGCACAAGCGAAGGCTGTCATAGATTGTCCAATATAAAGGCTGTATTCAACAGAAAAATAAATTGCACCACAGAACAAGGGAGACGATGTTTTGTTTACATATTTTGGTGTTGCTGTCATGGAACATTTAATAGATAAATTAACGAGTTTATACTCAATTACAGAAGAATGTGGAAATAGATCCATCATGTGACTTGCTATCAAAATTTAATGGAGCCTGTCAGTCTACTCACCTCTTCAATTTTATTAGAACCGTTGTATTTTGCCACGAGCTGAGATGCAGGATCAGCTTCTACATTGTACAACGCTGAGTATCTGTTGGTTGGCTGCTTTTCGACATCCTCTGTACCATTCCTCTCATAGCGTACAATAAACAATTGTGCTATGTCTGTTATATCCCTCCTCGGCCCGCAGGTCTCATAACTATTTTCTGAATTAATGTAGAAGAAACAGAAACTCTGTACAAAAGGAGAAGCTATTAGCATTCAACGTGACAGCAAATCATAGTTTTGCTCAAAGAACAATCATCCAACACGATGGACCTCAAGGGTTCCACAAAGTAACAAAATAATCAGCCAAGTCTTACATGCTTCGATAATATAACTAAAGTCTATAATTAGAAGAAGAATAATAGCATACAAGGGAAAGAAAGACAGTTATATGAATCACATCAAGTTCAGGGAGCATCTCTCAACTACATTAAGGAACAAAAGGTTTTTCAAACCATAAGGATTCTTCAAGCTTTACCAAGGTTTGGATCCCAAAACCAACTGGAATTAGAGCGTACCAGCTAATGAAATAACTAAGACTCGATCTCAAATTAGTTGGAGCCGGGCTACATGAATCCTCTATATCCATTATGCTTTAATAGCTAAATAAAATGAAACCATCAAAGTAATCGTTACTGCAACTTTCTCCAAAATTGTGCGCACAAGAATTTGTAAATCTACAGAAGTGCCACTAGAGCTGAAATTTTCAGGAAAAGGTGTAAAGAATCTGAGATGGAAGGTTGAATCGGCACAAACAAGTAACTACAGATGCCTAGTTAAGTATATCTAAGATGAGAGGTTGTAGGAGTTTGATCCTCCCTCCAGACAATAACTTCTAAAAAGGCTATACATGCATGCTTTTCTGTAGTTTTTCATGGACTCTGTCAGTCTGTCAAAAGACAACTCCTACTGCTCATGTTCACCACGAAATGGGTCAGCTATTAATAGATTGATTTATAAATAAAAAAGGGATGCTAATTATTGTGCAAAAAACTATTGGTGGTACGGAAAATGTAATTACACCATTTAACTGAAGCAATGCCAAAATTCAAGAAGAGGTGCTCACTTTCTGTGCTTCCCCATCAAGCCAGGTAAATGTCAGCCGTTTCTGTTTTAGTGCAAGCAGAGCTGGTGCAGATGATGGATCTTGATCCACTGCAGTCAATTCTCCATCATTTGAAAGAGTTTCTTGAACCCTGCGAACAGTCTTATGTGATAGGTAATTCACACCATCAGCTAATGTAATATACATTCATAGCATCTAACATTTTATGCATGTAGCTTGATGTGAAAAAAGATTTGAAGCCATCAATCAATGTATGTGGTAATAATGAGAAGTCTTTCAGGCCCGAGGAAAGTCTCTTCCTGCCCTGGAGGTTGGAGCAATTTACCAGAAAAAGCAGAAAAATGCATCCCAACGAAGACATCTTTAGCTTTAATATATGCAGGACACAACTAAAAAGAGAAGGCATATGTAATATGCAGATGCAGACGAGTAGATGTCATTGTTGATAGATTATTGTAGGTGTTGGTATACTATGAATCAATTCTAATGAACTTTTCATCTCAAAGTTATTAGATAGAAATGTTAAGGAAGAGCTAATTGTTGGAGATGCACATGCTCTATGTCTTATGAGGTGATCCATAGCAAGCCAATTCAGATTTGGTATGTCAGGCTTGGGTCTTTCGTTCGGCTC